TGATCATTAATGTGAATTAAAAGCGCGTAATAATTTATTATTTTAATTATTTAAACACATAAATATTGATACAACGAAGCACCAGATACATATGCGCCACACAAATCTCATTTGATTTGTGTGAGGGCTGTGATACTACCCAGGTGCCCAAACTGAAGCAGGTGGTTTTCTTAGGGGGCCACACCCCCAGCCTTTGACCTGAAGATCTGATCCACAAGGCAGTAGAGCATCGTAAGAAGATGCAGTCTTATGGTAGCCGGTGACCAACGATTGATTCATACGCCATTTGTTCCCTCAGGATTCTGTAGCCCATATGCACCATTGGTTTGGAATCAGGGTTTTCCAATTCCCCTAGGTAGACTTTCCGTGTCCACCAATCCGCTTAGAACGCCGGATATTCGCTTTTCATCCTCTCGATTTCGTGAACAACGTCATCGGCACGAGAAGGCAGTGAGTAAGACTTTCCTGGCAGAGGCTTCATACGCGTGGCCATGTGAGAGCATTTCGAGAGGGAGGGTGGCCCCACCCCACTCTTGGCCATACCAGGGCAAAAATAACCAAGGGAATAATTATTATGGAGAAGATTACAGAAATAAGACAAATCAATGCAGAATGCTCAAGCTTCTTTATTTAAATTTTAGAATAAAATTTTAACTAATATATGTCTAAAACAACCTATAGCTTGTGTAGCAGTAATGAATCTTATTTTGAAAAGGTTTGTACTATCTCATCGTTGATGTTAACAACCGCAAGTAATCGTTCTCTTTTTTTGGGCATACATCTGGACTCATTAGCTCAGTGGTTTATGCATTGTCTTTTGAAAAGAAAGGTACAATATTTGAGAGCTAGTATGAACATTAACACCAAAATGAAGGTAAATCCAGATGACGAGTCGCAAATAGGACGAAATTAGTTTCCAATGGTGTAGGTGTATATACTCTGTGTCTTTGTTGGGGTGATCCAGAAAACTTCTCGCAAAAGACATGAAAGGCTCACGAAACACTAAAAAGCATTTTATCCAATCAGTATTCACTAGAAGTTTAGCCAGAAACATCACAAAAGTGAAAAGTCACATGTAGAGTTTCTGATTGGTTGACTACTACACTGCTACTATGTTTAGTAGCATACTAGAATTTTCAGGAAAAAACCCAAGGACTTCTAAATTACTTTAAAACCCTAGATTTTCTGTACATGAATGAACCTTTGGAATATAGTGCTTCTGGCATGTTTGCGGCTTTTCTCTCGTGTTCAAGTTGCTGCGTAGATTTAGCTTAGGGATCGCGGGACTAGCTTAGGAACTAAGTATAGAGTTCAATTAGCAAGACTGATCAGTCTTCCCTAAACTGTGAAATTAAAATTTCTTTGTACCTTTCATTCTCCTAAATAACTTTTCCTTCCTGTACTATATCCTTATACACAATCTTTCTTTTATATATTACTAGCATTGAAGTTACGACCTTCTATGAATTTGGAGTTCATCTTGTTGTGCTAATGAGGTGTGACAACTTAAACAGATGCATATATATATATATGGTTTATGCATACAGATAATAGTTGTCTGTATTGTATTTGGAAATATGAAATTCAACAATATTCACAAACTCTTCGCACTAATATTTATGGATTGTCAGATATTTGATAGATCGCAGAAATATCAACGAATACTAGATAATTATCTTGTTCACCTTGGTATTGTCACTCTCACAATAGAGCTCATCAGCGACACTACAAAAAGTATTGTCAGAACTAGACTAGAATAATTGATCAATCCTTCTTTGGTTTTTGATTTTTCTTTCTACAGTTTACATTAGTTCGTGATGAAACTCACCTTGGAGAAGGTCATTTTCGGATTTATTAACTAGTCGAGTTGTTTCGTATTCAATGTATTCAATACCCAAGGGTAAAGTAATTCAAAGTCTAGTGGCTAAATTTTATTTGATCGACTGACATAATTCTACACAACACTGGAAATAAAATATTAAATAGTATTTGTTATGCTTTGAAATAAGATATTGATGCGCATCTTTTAAAATTGAATAATTATACTTTCACTCTATTATCTATAAACTGTTTAGTTCATGATTGATCATATAAACAGATGGTTCTTGAAATCAAATTAAATGTAATCCATGTTTTAGGGTTGCCTAGAATAAGAAAGTTTTACTGGAAATGAGATAATGGTCAGAAGTGGAGTAACATCACTAGCTGATTGTTATGATGACCTTTACTTCCATATTCAATCAATTACACATCGAAGCTAAATTTCTAATAAATAAGTGCCAAAGTTCACCAACATATAAATCCAACCAATTATTCGATGGTTTTGTTTATTGGAGTCTATTCGCTTTGGAGCAAATAAATCTGAGTAAGGGTTAAAAGAACAAACTAATTGATGAAATTATAAACACTTGTTAACTTAAGAGGTTAGCATGTGTGCAACTCATCCCCAACCACCTTCTACCTCAACGTGAAATATCAGCCGTATTTATTTATTTATCTGGACATATAAATATTGGTACAAAGAGGCATCAAATACATATGCGACATACAATAAAAATGAGGCCAGTAGTCGTTATCAATGACTTGTGTGAGGGTTGTGCCCGAACCGAAACAGGTGCTTTTCTTACGAGGCCAGTCTCCGAGCCTTTAACCTGAAGGTCTAACCCGCAAGGCAGTGGAGCAACCTCAGGATATGTAGTCCCGTGGTAGCCGTTGACTAACAATAGGTTCACATGCCATTTCTTCCCTCAGGATACTGGTGCCCATGTTCACTAGTGGTTTGGAATTAGAGTTTCCTAACTGTCTTGGGTGGATCCTCCATATCCCTTAAACCGGTTAAATGGCGGGACACTCGCTTTTCGTCCTCTCAATTTCGTAAATAACAGTAATGCCGCGAGAAGGCAGTGAATAGGACTTTCCTGACAGTGGCTGTATACGCGTGGTTATGTGAGAGCATTACGAGAGGGAGAACTGACTCTCCCCACCCTCAGCCGTAGCAGGGCGTTTGGGGACTTATCGGCCGACATAGGAGTGGATTGCAAAAAAGAGGAATGAATGTACTAATGAGGATATGACGTGAATCTATGGAGTCCTGATCTGAACCAAGTGGGATGATGCAAAACTCCTAGTTGGATCTCATGAAATGCTGTTAATCAACGGTTGGAAAAACTGAGTGACATGGCGCAAGACTTGCCACGGTATCCCAGTTTTATTCATTCTATACCTCCCACTGAACATTGAGTTAAATATCATCTACAACTTTTATTGCTTATATCACATGTGTTCCCTTATGAACTGTATTTCTTATGATTAAATTTCTACTGGTTTTGATATTATTTTCCACCGTATGTTCGTTAGGTTATTGATTTAATGTTACTGTACTGACGGATTAACCATTTCACGAGCGATGCAAAGACTACAAGAAAGAATGGTAAGGTAAGAACAATCATTGACATCCTGTAATTTCTCCAAATTTCAGAAAGGTAACTATGGATACAATTTTAGCGCAAAAATTATAGTCGACAAAATTGCGTAAGACAATAAGATATATGAAGAGCTTGACTCCTTAAGATTTCCAGGGGTGTTTGAAACACAGAGTTAGGAGATAGTACAAATATATTGTCATATATGGGGAGTATTTTGAGAGAGATATGGATAATGTACTTTAAATTTGATAAAACCACGTATTTACGACCTTTATTCATGTATATTTTCACTGAACAGATTCAAATAACTACCTCATCACAATTTTTCCCAAAACTACTTAACTAACAACAAGATAGAAGCAACTGTGTACTCAACTTTTCCTTAAATGTACAGAAAAAATACAAAACAAAAAGAACAACCCCATATTTCAATTCATTTTTTTATTTTTTGCGATCAATTGGAATTCTATTTTTGTTTCACAGACAATAGAGAAAAGGGGCACTAATTACATACATGCATATCTCTAAAAAAAATAAAAAATGTATAAGGACAATAATAATAATAATAATAATAATAATAATAATAATAATCGGTAAACAAAAAGGAGAACTTATTTCCTTTAATAAAGGCGAATTTTTCTCGAATATAAGTGTTGTTCTTTGTTCTCCACTTTGTTTGTTGAAACCTACCAACATAAAAAAAATCAACTGGGAATAGTAGTAATCTGCTTTATGATTTGTTCTTTCAAAAAAAACAGATTGACCCCTAAGTGTATGTGTATAAATGTTTAGAATGTAAATATATAGAAATATAAATATATATATATATATGTATATATATATATATATAACAGTAATAACAACAACGTATAAACAAATATGATAGGTATAAAGAGTACTATTCAACGTAACAAAATGCAAGTATTTGTATTGAATAATCAGTGCATAAGAGTGTATCGTTTTTTTAATAAAAAAAGGACAGAAGAGATTACGCAATCCATTCAACTAAAGAAACCGGTTGGAAAAATTGTTCAGGACGAAACCTCTTCTTCAGTATAATAACATCAGGATTATATTAAGGCATTAATGATAATAATATAGGATAAGAAAGTAGAAGAAAAATACAAATTTGATGAACAATTTGATCGAAAATGTGTTTCTGTTCGAAAACAAAATAGAACGATCAAAAAGAAATTGTCTATCAATTCATTTAACCATTCATAATTTTATTGTCAATCGACTAACTACCACTTCGACATTTTGATTGGCGGATAAAAATTCATTCACTATGGTATACGATATGAATCGACCAATCGGAAATGAGGAAATATTTTTAATCAATGTTCAAGGCTACACAACAATATGAGATGATGAATCGACATTCAGAAGAGAGTGGAGAAATCAAACTGAGATATCATGATGATGGATATGAAAAGATGATCAAAGTAGTCTATGTGCGAATAAATAAAAATAGTTTGTTTTCTCTCCTACATTTCTATCTTATTATTCACTACCAAAAAGTAATAGGTGGGATAAATTTAATATTAATCTTTGCCCTGTTTTGGTCGTTATTCTAGGATTTGCATTTTTTTCGTCTTAAACTTATCAATATTAAGCATACAGTTAAAAACGAACAAAAAACACAAATTTTTCCTCAGTTTTGAAATCTATATATTATATTCAGGACAAATTAATGGTTGGTGTTTTAATTTAGTATTGCGTTTATTGAAAAGATCGTTTGTTTGTTTATTGGATTAGACGAATGGTTAAGTTTAAAATATTATCATTACAAGATATTTTAATTACTATCCGAATCCGATGTGCTAATTTCCACCATATAGTTAGAAGAATGACCAGCTTCAATTGTTCTTGCCGCTGAAGAACTAAGACTTTGTTCACCAGTAGAGTGAAGTAGAAGCATTTGAGATGTTGAAGACTGATGATGATGGTAATAATAATTATGATGGTGAGGATATGTATTAGACGATGACAATGTTGACAATTGAGTAGAGGGATTAAATTGACAAACTCTTGCAGTCTGATTGATACTATCGATAGTAGGAGAAAAAGAGGAAGAGAAGAGAGACAAAGCTGAATCCCTAAGATCAGATTGATTAGATTCATTTACATCATAATGATTATGTGGAGGAAATCTAGATTCATTACCAACAACAGCCCCACTATCATTGTTATTATTATTACTTTGTCTGGAATAAATAGTGCATTGATCTGAAGAGTTTAATGACGGATTAGCAATATTCTCTGATGGATTTGTAGTGTTTTGTGGTGACAGTGATTGGCTAATAATTAATCGCATAGTTCGTAATGCATAATCGACTGGAAATGCAAACAATGAATATAGATTCAAAGAAAATCTCCAAAATACTTGTACACTGTAATTAGCTGTACTAATTCCATAATTAAACAAGATCCCGGATGCCTTTGTTTGATATAGGGAGAGAGAAAGAGAAATAAGTACACAATACAAAAATGTTACATATATATATATATTATTGATAATAAAGTTGAGTAAATTGATATATTTCGTGTGCCCAACCAACGCTTACCTCGGTCTATGTAGTTTGCCCTCATATGAATGGGTTGGAACAAAGCTATAGAGAAGAATGAACTAAGACATAATATCAGTCTTTGAAGTCAATCACTATCGGGCTGAAGTGCAAGCTTCCTGATTGGAATCTGTGCTATAACCGCGATCAGTAATTGATGTTAACCCATATTTTGTTTACACCTAGTTGCTGAGTTTCCAGGTTCTATGTTGCTTACAGCTGACTAACTGAACAAATACAAACAATGACAAGCTCTTACTATGGAATTCAAAAATTTCACTTGTGGATTCAAAATTATTTTGAGACTATTTACATAAGATAATAATAATTATTATTGTTATTATCATTACTATTATTATTTTGGATTGAATAACTGTTTATACGGTATTGTTAATGAAATTGGCGCCAGAACAATTAAATAGTTGTTTCTTTGTCAAATATCGCATTTGATAAACTTTAAAGTTAACTATTGAGAACAGGTGAGAATATAAGCATTTTTAATGAGATTTGAATAGCTATACCCTAGTGGATTAATTTGTAACCTATTACCCAGTAAGTATATTATTAAAGTTATTTATTTCTGTTTTTTTCTTTTTGAAGAAACATTACAAATTTATAACAACGGTTTAATATCGCTAGTGTAACAGTTTGATAATTCTCTTCTCTATGTTGATTACTTCCTGTTGATATTGTGGTGTATGCTACTTATGTTTGCAGATATAAGTAGCATGCAACACTAGTCGAAAGTAGAATGTCTCCGAGGAAAAGGTTGAGAAGAATGAAATGGAGAAAAGAGAGAAGGAAACTGAGAGCAATCAAGATAACAACAGAAATGAAAGAACAATGAAGCTTGTAACAGACAATTCGAAGATGTGCAAATGGTGTATTTGATGTATGATTTTCACATTTTACTAAACTAATGTGTGATCGCGCATTAAACAATAAATTGGCCTTCCCCAATTCAGTTATCGTTTACTACAATATGATAAACCAATTGTTGATAGTCTGAAGTCAACACAATCCACTAATCATCATAAATTTTTCTTGAAAAGATCGGTGTTAAATTATTTCACACTTTAAACCAATTGAATTATATTTGTTAAATCCAGTTATTCTCACAACTTTTTTTAATTTTTTATTTGAACACATAAATGTTGGTACAACGAAGCACCAGATAAATATGCGCCACACAAATCTCATTTGATTTGTGTGAGGGCTGTGATACTACCCAGGTGCCCAAACTGAAGCAGATGGTTTTCTTAGGGGGCCACATCCCCAGCCTTTGACCTGAAGATCTGATCCACAAGGCAGTAGAGCATCGTGAGGAGATGCAGTCTTATGGTAGCTGGTGACTAAAGATTGGTTCATACGCCATTTGTTCCCTCAGGATTCTGTAGCCCATATGCACCATTGGTTTGGAATCAGGGTTTTACAACTCCCCTAGGTGAACTTTCCGTGTCCACTAATCCGCTTAAACCGCCGAACATTCGCTTTTCGTCCTCTCGATTTCGTGAACAACGTCATCGGCACGAGAAGTCGGTGAGTAGGATTTCCCTGCAGAGGCTTTATACGCGTGGCCATGTGAGAGCGGCCTCTCCCGACTCTCGGCCGTACCAGGGCATTCGGGGGCCAACTAGACTAATTTAATTCAACAAAAACTAACTTTTATATAAGGCATCATTGATATGTGTGTGTCTAAATTAACATTGAAATATTCGCCAATTCAAAAACAAAGAAATACACTCGATTCAAATAACCATTCCATCTTAAGAGTTAATCATGATAAGATAATTTAAATATCGATAAAACTACATTTTAATAGTTGAGATCATGAATCAATTGAAGCTAAACCACCATAGAAAACCTGGAAGCGCATCCACGGTCCCGCCTGGCGAGATTCAAACCCAAGACCTATCATTCTCGCGCGCGAGCGCCTAACCACTAGACCACTGAGCCGACATCCAAAGATGTTAATGTGTAACTTCAACCGATTCACAAAATTGAGCGACACATCCACCAATGTCTTCAGTGAGTGACTATCTCACAACAGACCTGATTGAACTCCACTGGTCACTGCTTCTCACTAGAACTTTAGGAAATATCTTTTTTCTCTTTGTTATAAATAATCCTTGCTAAATTTCATAGCTTTTAAATTACTACTACTAATTAAAAGTAATATTTAAACAATATTTGAATGTAATCCAGTTCATTTGGAGATAAGATTTAAAAATATAAAATTCTTGGTTAAATTCATTCATACTGCTGCCTAATCGTCAGTTAGCAATATTGGTACAAGATGTTTATCTTTAATAACTCCTTCACAGTATACAAGATCAATTTATTTTCAGTAAATCGGGTTTGTGAAGTTTGTTGAAAATTCATAGTTTACATTACGTACAAGCATTCGAAACTAAGAAGCACTGAATAACTGTTTCATCGTAGTGTGAAAATTCTTAGAAGTGCATTGAAATTACTCCCACTGGGGTCGAACCTAGAACAAAGATCAGTCCGTTATGTGAATTATCAGATTTTGATTTACTGGCTCAATTACGCTGTGTTTATCGAGACCTGAAGGTTATAAGTCCAATTTTGTGTGTGTAGCCCTAAATATGGGCGCGCTACAAAAGCTCCAATTTAAAATGGATAAACTGAATAACACTCTTTAGGTATCAATAATTTTTCATTGAATGTCAGTTCATGACAAAATAATTATCTTCCAATTTGGTACAGATAAAAAAACTCCCCTTTCAGGAAACGTTCATTTTGACAAATGAAATTATCTGCAACGTCTTCAATGTCCAATAACCGACGTTGCATTCGATAGATGCATACAGCACAATAAACTGCAATTTTCAAAAGAGATTTTAGTCAAAGCGTCTGGAATTATCCATAACTGTCTGTCATAAACACATCAGTGTACAGCGTAGTAGAAAACGCTGGATGAGAAGCACAAATATAGTGAAATTTAGAGCTTAAAGTGAAATCTTCGATATAAATTCCACTGTCATATGTAGTATTCAGCCATTGAATAAATTGAAAAAATGATTAAAGGTGCATTGAAACACAACACACTCATTGAACATTGAAATAGACAACTTACACACTTTTCAAAACCGTTTCTATTTCATCTTAAATTTTTATAATGACAAACGACTATAATACACTATTGAAAACTTGTAAAAATGTAAAAGATTTCAAACAAAAAATAAATAATGAAAGCAAATCTTATACTTGAATTGTAAGGTCAAATTTCAAGGTTACATTTGTATCACATGATACTTGCTTTATGCGTAGATTTGTATACATAAAAAGAAGTTCTACCAGTGTCTATCTATCTATATGTACTGTCTTTTACTCGAGATGATTGACTATCTATCTAAGCCTAGTTGAATGTATATGATAATAGATAGTGTGTGTGAGTGTGAATGAGTGAGTCATAGTCAAAGCAAGTTATTGACTTGGTCTAAATATTGTAAGCAATTTATTTTTCTGTACTTTAAAAAACACTAGTAAAGATGAGTTACAAGATAGGAGGTAAAGGTAGGTGGGTATTCAGGTAGTTAAGTAAGTAGGTATATATGAGTAATCCAACGATATGAGATAAACACATATATATTTGAGATATATTTATCAGAACAGAATAATCTCCATCTGTGAAAGCATAAGACTCTAAAATAGTTTTATTAAATAAAAATAGAACAAAGTTATCCAAATGTTTAGCGTTATATTGTTCTGGAGATCATTGTCTCTACGTCGACAACGCTTGAACTAATAATAATAGTCAGGAATGTGAGGTAGGTGGATGCGTCAACCACTTTTATCTATCTTGAAAATTTAATCAACTCTGAGTAGATTGGTGCCTGATGAAAAATAGGTTATGATTTAGAAAGCTTGTTTATTTCTCCCTAGCTTGCGTTACTGTTTCGTTTTCCAACCAAGGGATGAGTATTCTGAGGAACAGTTCCTTCGATCTTATATTAAGGATGTAAAATGTGACTATTAGAATAGGACATTCGTAAGTTGCTAGTATTTGATTATAGATGTCTCCGAAGCATTCCACGTGTATGCTGAGACCACTGAGTGAGAAGTGTCAAGGTTAGATGCAGGATAATGGCCAAAAATGGAGAATCAACTTGTAAGATTGGATATTACCATCAACTGAGGTTATCGGGACATTTTTTATGTACATCCAACCACCGCTTACTTTGATGTATACTGTTGGGTGGTACTGTGGAGGATTGGAAGAAAGTTAAGAACAGATAAATCAAGACATGGCATCTACCCATGGAGTCATTGGTTATTGGTGGGTCCAGCTTATTATTATTATTATTATTATTATTATTATTATTATTATTATTATTATTATTATTATTATTATTATTATTATTATTATTATTATTAGCTTTATTCAATATTATATTATTTGGTACAAAATCGAATTCTCAGCATAAAGTATTTCAACATGTTTACGTTTTTTAATCCTTCGTTGCTCCTGATGATAAATATTCAGTGATCGCCAGTTAGATGTCAACATTTCAGTCAATCGACATATGAATAATTACTTACTTACTTACTTTCGCCTGTTACTCCCAATGGAGCATAGGCCGCCGACCAGCTTTCTCCAACCCACTCTGTCCTGGGCCTTCTTTTCTAGTTCTTTCCAGTTCTTGTTCATTCTTCTCATGTCTGTCTCTATTTCTCGGCGTAATGTGTTCTTTGGTCTTCCTCTTCTCCTTCGACATTCAGGAGTCCATGTGAGGGCTTGTCTTGTGACACAATTGGGTGATTTCCTCAAAGTGTGCCCAATCCACTTCCAGCGCTTCTTCCTGATTTCTTCCTCTGCTGGAATCTGGTTTGATCTCTCCCACAGTAACTTATTGCTGATAGTGTCTGGCCATCGGATCCGAAGTATCTTGCGTAGACAGCTGTTAATAAACACTTGTATCTTCTGGATAATGGCTTTCGTAGTTCTCCACGTCTCTGCCCCATACAGAAGAACTGTCTTGACATTTGTATTGAAAATTCTAACCTTGGTGTTGGTTGACAATTGTTTTGAGCTCCAGATGTTTTTCAGCTGTAGGTATGCTGCTCTTGCTTTGCCGATCCGCGCCCTCACATCTGCATCTGATCCACCGTGTTCATCAATGATGCTGCCCAGATATGTAAAGATTTCCACATCATCCAAAGCTTCTCCGTCAAGTGTAATTGGATTGGTGCATATTGTATTGTATCGGAGAGTCTTGCTTTTCCCTTTGTTTATATTGAGACCTACTGCTGCTGAGGCTGCTGCTACACTGGTCGTTTTCTCCTGCATTTGTTGTTGCGTTTGTGATAGAAGAGCCAGATCATCCGCGAAGTCTAAATCGTCAAGCTGCATCCTGCCTGTCCACTGTATCCCGTGCATTCCTCCAGATGTTGACGTCTTCATAATCCAGTCGATCACCAGGAGAAAGAGAAAGGGTGAGAGTAGGCAACCTTGCCTAACTCCGGTCTTTACCTCGAACGAGTCGGTGAGTTGTCCTCCGTGGACGATTTGGCAGTTTAGTCCATCATAGGAGTTCCGTATGATGTTGACTATTTTCTCAGGCACGCCGTAGTGTCGAAGAAGCTTCCATAGTGTCGTCCTGTCCACGCTATCAAATGCCTTCTCGTAGTCGATGAAGTTGATGTACAGTGATGAATTCCATTCGATTGATTGTTCCACAATGATACGTAGAGTTGCGATTTGATCTGTGCATGATCTATCCTTACGAAATCCAGCTTGTTGATCTCGAAGTTGAGCGTCTACGGAATCCTTCATCCTGTTTAACAATACTCTGTTGAAGACTTTTCCTGGTATTGAGAGGAGAGTGATGCCCCTGTAGTTGTCGCACTTGCTGAGATCGCCTTTCTTTGGTATCTTGATGAGAAGTCCTTCTTTCCAGTCTGTTGGTACATGTTCTTCGTCCCAAATCTTACCGAAGAGGATGTGGAGTATCTTGGCAGTTGCTGTTACATTTACTTTCAGTGCCTCTGCCGGGATGTTGTCTGGTCCCGCTGCTTTGCCACTCTTGATTTGTCTAATGACCATGCTGATCTCTTCAATTGTTGGTGGGCCAATATCGATTGGGAGGTCTGTGGGTGCTGCTTCGATGTACATATGAATAATGTATATTCTTTTTGCTGCATGTTCCCAACAAACACGATATTTCTGATTAGGCCTTTTGTAACCTTTACAGCGAAAGGTTGTACAGTTTTCAGAAAAGCAACCGGAATATGTTGTGTGCTTAATAGCCATAATGATGTATTAAAACAAACAATATTAGATAACTTGTTGAAATATATAGATGACAGGAACAGGTAGCCCAGATGTTTAAGCAGGCCGCTTCTGATCTACGCTACAACCATGACCAATGTGGTTGGAGACGGTGACTGGTATAGCTCAGAATCGGTCGCCATGACACAGATGCATTCGCTCTTTGTCTTTCCTTAGATCCTAAGTTTCGAAATTAGTTTATACTCTTCATTCTGCATATTTGAGATTCTTCAAATACCTTCTCTATGATTAATTTGTTTCACTGCCACCGATACTTCTAATTTCATATCGATATGTTAAGGTAATATGCCAACTTGAACTAACGCATATATGTGCCAATTTCTACGTTCAGTCAGTCAGTCACAACGCATAACCTGTATTTATGTACATCGCTTCAAGTCCCCATACCCCATTAGCACAGATAGATGAAGTTCTCAGGCCAAATCCAAGAATAGTAGAGGTAGTACCAATGTCAATGTTAATAGGAAAGATTAGACATCGAAGATACGACTCGAAAAGAAAATATAAATCTGTGAAATGAGAACAAAAAAATTATGAGGAATATAGAAGCTCACAATTCGGGGGAAGATAGTGAATGAATACACTTGCGCCATTGCAAATTATTTTGAGCAATGTCATTCAAAGTCTATAACCACTGGTTATGATAACCATGCGGACCCCAACCAGATAGTCTATAAGTATTAACATGGATAAGTTCAATTGTCATTGACTTCATGGACTGATGCCATGTTTTGATTGACCGCCCCTAGCCTTCTTCCAGCTTACTCTTACACCAGACAGCATCGATTTCTATGCTACTTATGACTGATTGATTAACTGATAGATAAAACAAATGCATGGAAAAAACTAAAACAACGAAGATACATGTAACAGTACTGAGTGCAAATGATTCGTCATTACTAGGGGTTGATGGGAGTTTACTATTTATGGAGAGGAAGATTTTATGCAGTCGGATAGTACAATTACTATTACTACTTACAACACCACAGTAATCTAATTAACTATCTTACCTACCTACCAATCATTGATAATTGTTAATAAAAAAAGGACAATGGTATTAAAGGCAAATCCTGTTTTCTTCTCATAAAACGAAGAATTCTGAAAGTGTACCAGACTTCAGGGAGGTCTTTGTTTGAACTGGTCAATGTGTCTAGTCCAAACTAATTTACCACTAAAAGGTACACATATACACACTTAGATTTGAGTTAAACATTTTGTATAACGATTAGTAATACCGCTTTGGTTATATAAACCCAATGTATAGTGCAAAGCAGGGTTCGAGTAACATACAACAATTATTTCATATCATTACATTGATTCCTATATTTGTTTGTTTTTCACCCTATTAATTTCTCCCCTCAATTTTCCAGTGATAAGATGAAATGCGTAATAACAAATTAGACCAATGTACATTCGTATTTATTAAATAATTTCAAATGAATTTACAAGACAATCCAGATATAAGAAACGTTGGGGAGATCCAGAATATTTCACGAAAAAAAGTTCAGAGAGGCCCTAAAAACTCTAGGAAACATTTTATCCAATCAGCATTGAATAGAAGTTTCTCAGAAATATCTATAAAGTGAAGAGTCATGTGTTACATTCCTGATTGGATGACTATCTATCCTGTTACTATGTTTAGTATGGTTCCGTAACCTTACAGAAGCCAGAGACCATCTGCAATGCTACAAATACCCTCAGTTTTCTGTACACAAACGAACCTTGAGATAAGGCGCTTTTTTATATTTCGCTCCTTTTTTCTCGTGTCCGAGTTGTAGTGTAGATTTAGCCTAGGGTTATTATATGATCTTAGAAAACCGATTCAAGAGTTCAGTCAGATTTATCAAGAAATATCTTACAAAGATTTGTCTTTCTCAAAATAATTATCACGTCAACAAACCCTGTCGAATATAATTTATCCAAGTTAATTAATAAATAGACCTGAAGTTCATTTTACAACAACTGATCGTCATGTACAATTTGAATATTTGTTCAATTCTCATTCAGTAAATATTGTTTCAATCTTGATTTAATTCAGCTCTAAAGTTTATTAATAGTTATAGACTAAAGTAGAAATGGTATTTATAATTGATAAACTCTAAGGGATTTGTGACCACTCCACACAAAGAAATGTATACAGGTTTACAGAAATTGTATTTTACAAGTTGCAATTCAATCGACCACAAATTTTGTGTGAGAATCAAGGATTAAAACCTAGATGATATGATGAACACTAAAGTTCAGGATTAAAACTACCAGATCTCAACTCCTCATTAGGTTAATCAACAGATTCCTTTCTCAAATTTAGTCAAATGCTTCACAGGAATTCACGAGATTTTAAAGTGATTTTTTGCATGAACTAATACCCGATAATGGAGAATCGTTAAATATCAAGAAGTATTAGATAGAAGTTCTTGTGTTTGTTTGGAACTCAATGATAATATATCCAGTTCCACAACATAAAAAGGGGATTGAATCGAACACCTGCATATCTTGTGGAGAGTACAATACTACTAAATCATTGAATCAGATCAGTCCTATATGTAAGCTTATGAATAAACAACACAGTGAAAGAGATACGGACTAAAACAAAACAGTTATTCAGTCCTTCCTAGATTTCAAGGATTGTTTAGATTACGTTAGTCATATCTTTGAACAATTTATAACAGTATCTAGGTGATGATTAGTCCTAATTAGCATAAAACCCGTGTACATCTCCTATTCTACTATTAAGCAGAACTCAGATGTACATAAAAACTTGTAGCAAAAAAAGTTATATCGAGATATCCACTAAATATGCATATATAAATCCCATCAAAAACTGAGAAAAATTTGGTGAAGAATATCAACAACGGAATATTACAAGCTCTTTACACATAACAATTATTTATCTTGTAACTTGTAGTCATCACAGACCGAAAACCAGGAAGTAATGGTGAATTTCACATGGATGTCAAGAGTGAAACGGTTGTCATCAATGGCATTGGATAATCATTGCATCTTATCGCAAGCTGATCGAAGCTGTAATTGCATTATTGGACGTCGTTCCGGTGGATCTAGTTGCCAAGCACTAGCCAAGAGACCTAAAGATGTTCTGTTCAACAACCGCTATTTGGGTCGCGGCCACGCAATCCTAGGAAGTTTTATACTGGAGAACAGGAGCTTTACAGTACTCCCTTGTTCTTAATGGTATCCCCCTTCTGTGGTGAGATCGATTGGTGATAAATACCAGCTACAAATTAAATTGATCTCCATAAAACGGCTTCAAACGAATTGTTTATTTATGTACCGAAAATTATATCATAACTCACCAAATTATACCGTCCTGATCGATTTCTTCTTGAATAATCTATCATTAACTCATCTGCAACACAAGCTAAACGTCTTGCTAGTGAACTTGTATGTTGTATTTGATTAATCGATGTAGACGAGAAATTCATGTCTGTTCCACTGTTGTGAATGGATTGTGGTACAGATGATAAATTACAATGATCACAGTAATGATGATGATCTGAAGGTTGTTGATGCCGACGATATTGACAGTGAGAATAATTTGGATTTAAACTTGAACTTGTTGGTGACGATGTTGACTGTATAAGTGGAACAGATGAACATCTTGGTTGTAATAAGATAGAATGATGAAATGAAGTGACATTTGATGTAATTGTATTGGCATTATTATTATTCATATGTAACCCGAACCGGGGTACAACATCAGGCATAGGCGTTGATCGTAATACTGGTATATTATTATTGTGATTATTCCATTCATTCAAATTATTTGTGGTTGTTGGCATGGTATTCATCATGGGAGAAGTTGGCAATGAAATGACGGAACAGAGAGGAGCGACTACAGAGAGATAAAGAGATATTGAACAGAAATTAATGAAAAAGGTACGTGTTTTCAAGAGTATGTGTAAGGAAGGAAGTGTTAAGTGAAACACCAGTGTATTTAGACTAACGTGTAACCTACTTGTAAATCATTTGATAACTTAGTGAGTCTTTATTGATTAGGTTGGTTGAGATATGTGTTATGTATACCCAACCGCTAAAAACTTCAATAAATGATGTTGGCTGGTGCTGGTGATGCTAAGTAACATGACTCATAATCAGCTACAGTGATGCATAGACATCCAGTCTTTGACTTTCCTATATCCATCTTAAGTTTAAAAATTTTATTATACTTTTTTATTCCTCAAATTTATCCTTCCTTCTCCAATTGCATAGTGTGTATGTCTAATGTTTTCCACTACCACTGATACTGTTATTACTTCTAATACTCGGACTTTTGTCTTGGTTATATCATTTTAATGAACCGATTTAATGTGTCAACTTGAACCGATGCACACATGTGTCAGGTTCCACGTTGCGTATAACTGCATGTCTCCACCTAGGCGAAATATATATTCATTGCTATAAAAGTATAGTTTTGTAGCCACCGTATCTTTCCTTTATTATAAATAAGCACAAAAATGACAAATTAGTTCATTTAATCCAGTACACCAATAATTGAAGAAAATTATAAACCCTACTAACCCTCTTACATGTGATATGCTGCTCAAACTTACAAATCATCTTATTTTTTAACTGCGCATAAATCTCCTTGTTTTAAATTTGTCTCGACTAAATAATGATGTATAGTCTCAAGCTAATGGCTATCTGAAGATTCAGTAGCTCAGTGAATAATGGTTTGAGGGTTTTAAGTGAAAGTTCCTGAGGTTCGGTTCCAGTGCAATGAATATCAACATTGAGGTACAAATACATCAAATTAACAAGTCTATAAAACAACATGTTCAATAATTCAATCAAAGGTCAACAAGAACTCCTTCTTATGCTACAGCTAAATGGGCCTGTAAATTTACATGTACCTGCCAAAGCACCTGTACCTGGCCAAACAAAAAGGAAAGAATATCTTAGATCGTATGAACATATCTCCAAAGTCCTCGAACAAGAAAAGATTATTTATGTATCACAATTACTATACATACCTTGGGCACAGGACATCAGATCGATACCTTGGTATCTGTCAAGATGATTAGTAAACAGCCAATCCTCATAGTTTTACTGAAGCCATTGCTATTCATTACATCATAAAACTTTGTTCAACCCTTTCAATTAATTACTTCGTTGAGTCTTTTCATTTCTACTGTCTTTTAGATTAGTAATCTTATGTTAATCAACTGAACTTCACTCATTTTATTCTTACCTATTATCAGTGTTTATTCATTACGTAACCAATTATTTCTAATTCTTTGGACTTTTGTTACTATTAATGTTGTAGAGTGTTCTTTTACACCAATAAATATGTATAATACTTCATTTACTACATTAAGTTTATTTATGCCCTTTTTATTCTATACTGATGTGTCATCATATCAGCTTCTAACTAAACTCTCTTATTTAAGTAATTTAAACCCAATTCGTAATTAGAATTCTTTCAATAATCCAGGTTATAGGCAGATGACGAGAACCAAACGAAATAAAATGAAACTGAACGTCCTGAGTTTGACATCCACGTCCGGGGTCGTGGATGCTCACTGCTGAGGCATTCCACATTAGGACGAAACGGGCGTCCAGGGTTTTCAGGTTCTCAATTGTGGTCTAACTAAGATCAGTTCGTTATTTATCAACTGGGATAATTCTACAATCTCAACAAATTCTCTATACTAATGATAGAATGGATTTGAATTATTCTGCTAAAATCTTTGTTCTTTCTCTCTTCAAAATGATAAAAGGAACTATATGCATAAAAGTTGCCGATAGTGTGAAATATAGATCCTGTATTCTACTGTTAACTACTATTCAACTTTAATAAACAATTATAATTTAGTGCCAAATGTATTCATGGTCATTTTTATAAAATACCTGTATAACTTATAATGAATGAAATTTACTACGAAAATTCGAATGGAAGCACAAAAAGAGCTGTGATACATACTTTGTCTACTCCATGAGGAGACATGAAACAAACATCATCAAATCCATCCGATTAAAATATGTTAGCACAACTATGAAAAGTAGATGTCAGTCACAGGAGCGAAATCAGTAGAAGACCTTTTTATGAGATTAAGATGAACAGCTCTCAATGAATGTTAGGAAACATCTAGTAAATAGATATTACTGGAATTCTTCATAAATTAAATTACATATATAAAATAGAGGGAGTAGATTGCACAATATTGAATAAATCGAACTGCGAATTATGTTCTATAGTCAATCCTTACCACTATGTCTTATTATTAGCTATTTCACAAGTCATTAGACTCTATGTAACTAACTCTAACCACACCCTGTAAATGATTCCATGAAGTCATTTTCTTTGCTTCCAATTAATTACCATCCACTGGCACACAGATAAATCATGTCAGAGATACACGTAGAACAGTAAACAAATATCATAATGAATCCTATTTATAATTATCATCATATTCAATGCCATATTAGTATTAGTTGATGTACCACTAACAACCAGAATGCATTGAGCAACTGTTTATTCATAGTATACGACTCCTTAGTAGTACGCGTATACATGATCCTACAATGAGAGGAACACAAGACTTTCAGATCCTGTGTAAAATACTTTACCATCAGGACCACTGGGTGACGAAACAGCTATTCGGTGCTTTCTGGTTTTCAATAGCACCTCAACTGGGATCAATCTATAACTAATACAGCGTACAAATTAAACTGATCCCTACAAAATTATACTTTAACTAATATATCAAATAATTAGCCTTTATTGTATAACATTCATATCAATCATTTTTTAAATGATGAATAGTAGCTAGCTTAAGAGAAGGACGAACTTGGAGTTGTTGTGCTCGCTGAGCTGGCTCTCATTAGCAAATATGTACAAAAAATTGGCATTATTCGTGTCAGTTATTTGACATTCTTTAAGTAAACGTAAACTTTTCATCTGATCACATCTCTAATTCAATTAGAATTCACATCAAGGAATGGAAAATACTCTAAATAATATCAGTCCATAATGAATTTATTGTAAAATTTCTTCACAAAGCCTCTAATCTATTTAATATTAAACACATTTTCTAAATATAGTAGTTTATTTCCCATATAGACATCACTCTATGCATTATGTTTGTCTTTCCCTAACGCATACACTTGTGGGGTGAGAGAAAAAATCGAAATGGAATAAAATCATTTCTACTCCTCCCTCTAGTCGAAAGAAAGACTCATCGTGTTAATGGAAAATTCTTTACCGAAAGAATGAAATCTCTTCTTCTTCGCCTTAGATGACAATGACGTTACTATTACCATAATAGTTTATTTATAGAAAATTCAAGTGATCAACACAACAACCAGTTCAAACAAAATTTAGGATAGGGGTATATATTTGTATAGTTTTTTTTACATATAAAGTCATAGCAACCGTACATGAAATAATGGAATGAAATGTACATTTAGTGTTGCTATGTCATATACAGATCATTTTTTCTTATTATTACTATTACCACTTCGTGACCCTCGATACCGAAACTGAATTCTTATTCAATACATAAATATATATGAACAAAACATTTCAGCTCATATATATATACATTATCTACTCGAAGAGTGGATTTTTACGAAAATAAGCAGAAAATATAAAAATATATATGTTCACCTGTGTGAATGTATATCTCCATGTATGTGTATGTATATGTGTGTCAGTAGAAAGAAGTAACCATATACATTAATGAATGGAGGGAGGGAAGGTGATAAGAAGATTGTTACAAATAAACAAAAATTAATGATGAGTAATCAATGTAAATTCCTTTAAGAAAAATAAACCCTCCAATAAATATCGTCGCCATCATCACAACATCATACTCTAAAATGTATAAAGACATTATTATTATACTACTCATTTACTGATCATCTTGTTTTCTTTGAAAGAAAGTGGTTTATGAATGTTAAATTTATTATTAGTTAAGGTCATAATAATGAAAGATTTTTGTTTTCGAAAAAGGTTCTGACCTGGGATGATATTTAATGATAAAAAGGAAACGTGTCATTTTATTATAAAGGGGATAAAAGTAGACACTTTTTGAAAGAGGAAAATTGCTAACACAAAACGGTAACTACTACTCTAGGAATTTCACTAAAAAACAGCAATAATAATCATGTGTTAGTTAGCGATCGATTTTGAAAAGTCATTACCGCAGTTCTAGAGAGAAAGTGTAACTAGTGGAGTTCAACCATGTCGAGTGTGAGGCATCTAGCTACCTCCCCACATCAATGATGTTGGGAGATGGTTGAGTAATATCAGAGATCAACTAATCATATATGCAAAATATTAGTTAAGCGCTCGTTGTTAGTCCTAAAGGTCCAGGGTTTGATCTCTCGTGCGGTCACCGGAAGACACTAAAGAGGGTCCCTATACTAGGACGAAACACTTCACTAGTGTTTCGTGGTTTTCAATGGTTGACTAACTAAGATTAGCCCGTGGTTTAAATAATAAAACTAATATTAAGTTGCGATTTAATGAACACTTCCAGTATGATACAACATGTGCATGAAGGGCAACAAACGAGGGAAGACAGTACACAGACCCATATTATCTGATGATTGAAAGTTATATGATAAAACAACTAAGTAGAAATTAAGCCTTTTTAAGAATAGTAGTTAGCAATGGAATTCAAAATGCGCGTCCCTCCTTATTTAGGACTCTACATACAAAGGGGGACGGTCCATGCGTTGCTGTGCTGATGTTTTCTTTTAATATGCCTATGAATACTGACTAAATTTTGTCTTAGTATTTGATACAATACTAATTTGATGATAACTAGCTTGAAATCACAACTTAGCGTCCCGCTTAATTTTTTTTAACATATCTACAAAACAAATTTG